CTCCAATAACTCAATCAACTCATTTACACACAAGCTCTGAACACGATTTTTTTACATGACATATTTACGAAATGCGAATATTAAGAGACGAGAAATATATATATGCTTATAAACTAAATATATGTTTTGCTTGTTGTTGTCTTTCTACTACTGATGATGGGTAAAATAAACCAATGTCATTTGATATTTATATGCATCCATGCGACAGGTCAAAGAAATGTTCAGGTAGCGAATATAGCTATTTTTGGATAGAAAAAAATCATTATTGGTTTTTATATCGTCGAGCTTGACATAGATCGTTTATTTTTAATTTTCAGTGGTGCTCTCCGATTCTTTATAGCTGAGACCGTTATTAAAAAAATATTTTTTGAAAATTATGATTTTCAGCTGACAAGTACAGTTCGTCAAGGTTCCATCATTTTTGGCGATAGTTTCGACCTGTAGTGCTCCAGCATTATCAATTTAGCATCTAAATTGACGTTAAATTCAGCTGAAAGCGTTCCACAATTCAGCGAACGACAGAGAATACGTTCTTGTTTTTATAGAACTGTTTTAGATTGTACGGAATGCGTTTAACACTTCAAAGAAACCATTTTTAGGCGTTCAACAATACGAAGAATCCATTCATAGGCGTTCCGCATGAGAAGGCGAACGAACGCGATTCCATCCTGCTATTCTCGAAACGAGTGAGAACGCTTTCTGATCGGTCGTAGGACTATTTTTAAATCGAAAAAAGGCATTCTACAAGTACATGGAACGACAAAGAATTCATTCCTTTAAACCCAGAATTTTTTTTTCCATTTATGGAAGCATTCTACAATAACTGGGAACGGTAAAGAATGCGTTTCTTTGAACATAGAATTTTTTTATCCGTTTATGAAGGCGTTCACTAAATTATAGAACGCTTTTTTTAACAGAGAGGAAAGTTTCCATATTTTTATGAACGTGTTTTCTACCGTTTTTTTTTATCAATATTTTTTACTGGGTCGGTTTATATCAAATAATGACAATCGTCCATGTTCTTGTAATACATAAAATAATTCAGCTATACTAAATACCTTCAATTGTTCAGAAATATTGATTAATTCTTCTAAACAAGTGTGTGAATCCATTTGAATAAAATAAAATATAAAGTAACTCCAGCTAGTCAAATAAATGTTCAGAATATCTGAAAAATTACAAACTTTTTAAATATCGAACTATATCTTCATCAGATGGTTCTTCGACATGGATATCCTTATATTTTACATATTGATTCGTCTTACTCAATAATTTTTCATAAAAAATATTTCGTTTTTTACAGTTCATGTCTTTCGTGTAGGAGTTTTCTTCTTTTAGCATAAACAATTCTAATTCTTCATTTGTATAATTGTCGTCGAAACGTGCAAATTTATCGTTGGAAAAA